ATCTTGTAACAAATTTTTCTCAAGTGTTTATAATCCAGAAGTTGTTCTTTTTCAACAACAAACAGGTTTCCCTCATTTAGACCAAGGGGCAAACTACAACCTATGGGCTGAGGGCCAGTCCTTATAAATAAAGCTTTATTGGAACACAGCCATGCCCTTTCATTTACCTACTGGCTATGCCTGCTTTCCGGACAGAAAGGCAGAACTGACTAGTGGTGACAGAACTGTGTGTCCTACAGAGCCAAAAATATTTACTACCTAGCCCTTCACAGAAAAGTCGGCCAACCCTTGACGTACGCAGACAAATAGAACCCACCCAGTGTGTTGGGCTAACTAGGAAGTCAGAGCAAAATTTAATATTAAATTTTAGTAACTCACCCATCCTCAATGCTCTTGTTTCTATATGCCTACAGGTTTTGATCTTCTAATTCCATTTCAACATTTTATTTAAAAACAGCTGGTATTCCCTGAGTGCTTATTATATGTCAGGCACTGAATTAAGCCCTTCAATATGTTCTCTTATGTAATTCTCACAATGAACCCATGGGGTAGCTAATATTATCCCCTATTTACCAAGGAGAAATGAGTGAAAAAATGGAGAGTGAATGAGTCACCAGTTGACTTCATAGGTGGAATATTTACTATTTCATAATTCAACCTCAGACAGTAATAGAGGAGGTGATTGGAAAACTTTGGGTGTTCAATAAATATAATGAGTTGCCCGTGCCGTGCCGTGATCAGGGGCTGCCGTCAATTCGAGCAGAAGTATAGGATTATAAAGTCCTATCATCCTGAGATTCTTTTTGTTTTCCATCTAGCTTCGGACTGAGCTGTGTAGTCCCTTCATCGTGCATCTTCTGGATTTAGGGAGGATCATGGTGAACTACGGCGCAGACATGTTCCTACATGAAGCAGAGCACAGACCCGCTCGGGTCAGGGGCAGAGAGACACAGTCCCCGGGGATGTGGCCAGAGCCATGCAGCCAAAGGGGCACAAACTACAGAGGACTGCACTCCAAATTCGGCCCTCTTCAAGAAGGCTGTGTTTACTTGCTGCTACCTTAATATTTTTGCAAAATTGGCTTTTTTTTTTTTAACTCAAAAATCTAAGCCCTCTGCCCTGATAACTGCAAAATAACAGGTCTCTATGTCAATTGGGATCTTTTTCTAATTCAAGAGAAGGTAAATATAAAAGAATTATTTTTTTTAAAGCAGGCTGCCCCTCAATAACCTAAAGGCATCTTGAACACCTCCCCACACACTGAGAACCACTGGCCCAGCAGGAGAAGGGAGGTTGAAGGCTAACAGATGGGAGTGCATGTACCAGCTTCTCTGCTATCTCCAGAGGTAAGTGATAAGTTGGGAAGCTTTCTGGATCTCTCTGAGCCTCAGTTTCTTCATACAGAAAAGGGGCACCACACCCACCTCGCCGGATTGGAAGGTTAACCAGGCACATTTCCAGACATTAATAAACACCAGCCATGAAGCAATCTCATGGCTGTTCACTGAAAAGCCTGGGCTCCAGATTCAGCCTGGAGAATGAGTCACAGCCCTTCCCTCAGCTGAGCCCATGCAGACTCCAGGGGACCTGGGCTCCCCTGTTGGGGAACAGGTCCAGGGCAATAAGCCATCTCTAGGAACGCTGGCTTGGGGTGTCTGTGTCGGTGGGAGGGCAGCACTGCACCCCTAGCCCCTGGATGAGTGTATGTGCTGTGAATCACCACAGGGGCCCAGTGAAAACAAGCAAATAAATAAACAGAGGGTCAGGCCCGCTCTAGCAGCAGTCTGGGGGAACTGAGCTCAAAGAGAAACGGGCTCCTCCAAGCAGCTAAAGATGGACTTGTGAGATAAGGAGATGAGGCCAAGCTTATGTGCTATACACAGAAATGCAAACTGCCCACACAGCCGCAAAGGGGGACCTGGAGGGGCCGCCACAGACGCAGGAAATAGCACCAGCGGCACCAGCACCAGGACCAGCAGCAGGACCAGCACCAAGTGCAAGACCAGCAGCACCAGCACCAGCACCAGGACCAGCAGCACCAGCACCAGGACCAGCAGCACCAGCAGCACCACCCGCCATCTAACTGATAAGTCCGGGGGCCACTGGGTCTAGTCTGCCCAGCAACAACCTGGGTTACACCTGTCGTCCCAGAGCAAGTGTTGGCATGCTGCTTTCACTCGCAAGGCTCCAGACTCAGAAAGTAGACGGTTTCCCCACCAGTAAGCAGCATGAAGGCCCAGAGAAGAGAGGTAACCTGCCCGAGGTCACACCATCAGCAGGGGCCAGGAAGGAAGCAGAAATGGGTCCCTCAGCTCCAGGCAGAGAGGCCCAGGGGTTCTGGCCTCCAAGAGAACTGTTCAAGTCCTGCCCTGTGCTCGGGGGAGAACTGCTCTGCCTTTCTGTGTTCCAGTCAGGCCAAGAGGAAAACATCAGACCAACCGTGCTTACCCCACAGGTCCGTTCTGGGCTTGGAATGGAACAGTAACTGCCACACGCCCTGCACAGAGCATGGCTTAAGAAATGGTGTTCATTTCTGTCAGTGTCCACAGGGTACAGCCCTGCAGGTGTGGGGCAGGGGCTCGGCGGCCAGAGAGGAGGGGCCCAGCGGAGTCTTATTCCTCACCAGGACCCTTCTGCATCTTCCGACGCAGAGCCCACCTTGTCCTCCTGGGAGGAGCAGGAGATAACCCAGACCACAATGGGTTTGTTCTGGGGAGCAACTGATAAAAGACAGAAGCGGGGTTCTGGGTCATGTGATAAGTGGGGGCACAGCTGCCACAGCAGGAGGGTAGGAAAAAAGAGCAAGAAGAGGTGCAAAGGCCTGGGGGCAGGGCTGCACCCCCGTGTTCCCAACTCGCTCTTCTAGCTGAGGCCCTCAGGTCCCCAGGACTGTTCTGCTCACCACTGCAAACCCAGCCAAGCCTCCCCGTCCTCAGAGTGCTCCCAGACCTTCAACAGCCCCCTCCTCCAACGATTCCCTCCCTGCCCTGTTTGGCCGTGGTACGGTGGGCGTCACACCCATCACAGGGGGCTGCAAATCCCCACCTACCCAAGGGCACAGGCTCCTCACAGGCCGTGAGCCTCCAGGGGCTGGACCACAACCTCAGCCCCACTTCATCCTGCCTCCTCACACAGGAGGGAGTTCTTACTGAAAGTCTGTCTCTCCAGGAGGACAGGGAGGGGACCCAGTCCTGAGGAGTCCAAGAGCATTCCCCAGCAGACAGTGCTACACACAAATACGCATGCACACACACACACACACACACACACACACACGCCCTTCTAAAGACCTCGAAGGAAAAGTCTTTACCCTTCAGCTGAATTGGCGTGATTCAGCATAAAACACCAGGCAGCTCCTGGCTTCCTGCTCAGTGTTCTCTTGGATAAGGAACCTCGGGTGAGTTACGTGGCCCCACGAAATCTCCCAGTTCTCTGCTGAACAATGTGCACACCACTGCCTCCCTAGTAGGACCGTTGGCTGATCAAGTTATATAGATACTCAAAAAGAGAGCACTTCCCCTTTGTCTGTCCCTTTCAGGAACACCGAAATAAAACCACTAAAAGTCACCCTGTGATCTGATCAAGGGAGATACAATAAATAAGATGCCTCCAGTGCAAGACAAGCCTGTTTCCTGACCTCAGAGAGACTGCCTTCCAGGGTGGGGAAGACAGACACGAAATCAGACAACCTGTGTACGTGAGCAACACATCACAATACATCTAGGCGCTCTGACTGAGAACAGTGGGGAGGGACCACAGGGACCCTATTTCCACTAGGAGATCAGGGAAAGCCTCGCTAAGAAGTGCCACTGGGCATGAGTGGAACCGGGAACTCAGTCAGAATCAAACCCCAGGCCCCAACTCACTGCGGTCTTGGCAGCCACATGCCAGGTGGTCCCGGGTGACCCGCACCGGGACACTGGAGGTTTGAGCTGCCATTCTCCCACGGGGAGCCCAACGCTAAGGCAACATCCCTCCGAGTCACCAAACATCATAGCTGCCAAGTCAGGATCAGGGAGGTGGGGGCGTGGGGGCCAGTCCTTCCGCTTGCCAACTGCAGAACTGCCACAGGCCTTTGCGGCCAAGTTCAAGTCTAACTGCTCCCTCCCTCATGCGGACACAAGGCTCCTTTCCCTTGCCGGTTACTGCCTAGCCACTCGGCCTTCCCACAGGTCCAGGGATGGTGATCTTCAATCAACCGTCCATGCCAACCGGTACCCAGTGTGAAGTCCAGCACGACCCACCTGACTCTGGTTCACAGCCCACACAATACCCACACTCCCCAGAAGCCTTCCTCCGAACCACAGTGACCTCACCACACGCACAGTGTGCCAAGCACGAGCATCTATTTTGAGATCCTCGACACCAACCCTGCGAAGGATGATGACACATTACCCCTACTGAGGAGAGAAAGGGAAAGGCATCCAGCAGTCACTTGGCCTGAGTCGCACAGCAGGTATGGGGCAGAGATCCCAACCCAGGCCTTCTGGCTCCACGGGCAGCCTGAGGACTCTCAGCAATGTGTTTCTCGCTCTAAGCACAGAGCCATGCATACTTTCCCTACTTACCCTCAATGTCTTAATTCATTCACCATCACGCCTTAATGCCCGTTCTACAGCAGGAGACACTATGCTCTGTCTTCAAAACTCACTCCATGAGGAAGAGGCCCCGGCCTTCAAGGCCCTTGTGGTCTGGTGCCCGGAGACAGGCCCACGAGCCAGGCAGTCAGGGAAGGCTGACGGGCATGATGACACCCATCGGCACAGGGAACTGGAGTGCTCCGGGGAAGCTCCTTTCAGTTTCCAGCTGTCTCCCCCACGCACCCAGCACCCGAGCAGACGTCTACACAGACGGAGGTCAGTAAATGCCATCTCCCCTTGAGAACCGGCTCTGTCACTGTGACTTCTCTCCCCCCCAGCCAGGCCAGTGTCACCGAAAGCCCAGGTGCGCACCTGACAGAACACGCAGGAGCATGTGCACAAGGAGGGGACGGGCCTTACGTTTCACAGGGAACCCTCAGGGAGGCTGGCAGCAACCCAACCAAACACTCGTGCGGAAATAAGGGCAGAGATCTCAGGCGTCCCAGGAAGCTGCGGTCCTCTGTCCACTACAGGTGTCCAGGTGCAGGGATCAGCCAGGCGCTCAGCCAGGGCCTTCCTGAAAACCGCCATTAGCATCCAAACGTGTGCTGCGTACACATGATTCCAGAGAATGCTTCCTCCACTGTCATCCCCCAGGCAGCTGAATATCACTGTAAATCCATAAGGCTCGGGAAATCCTTGAGTGCAGCTCCAGGCAACTGACAAGGCACAGCCATCGGTAAAGGGCAACTTTTTAATTCCTTTCTGGTCCAAAGATCAGGCCTGGGGATGCAAAGAAAAATCAATCTTGTTACCATCATGGACCCAGAGCAGTAGTCGTGTTATTCTGCCTTCCTTATATTTGACCCTAATATACTTAGAGGGGAACTCACTAAAAATAATGCCCTGTAGGTCCGATCCCCAAACGGAGGTGAGGCAGGAAACTGGGGGGCCTTCAGGGGAGAGTCACTTCGCACAGGCACCAAAGACCTCTCAGATCCGGAACATTCTACTGCTTGGGGCTCCCCAAAACTACCCTGAGAGGTATGCCCATTATAAAGAGGAGGAGAAAAGGTTCAAGAAGGGGTAGGGGGCCAGCTTAGGGAGTCAGCAGTTGGGCCAGGCCTGGCACACAGTCCTGAGCTCCTCTGCAGGGCTGAGAGGTCCTGGCAGAGAGCTGAGGGGGTTGGGGGTCAGCTGGTAGGAAGTAGTTCTTTGTTTTGTTTCTTTTTAAAGACAACCGCAAAGCTCTGGCATCAGGCCAGGCCTCCTCCTGCACCATGAGTGTCTTCAGGGCAGGGCCTGGGGCCTTCTCCTTTTTGTATTCATGTGTGCAGCAATCACTGAGCACCTGCTAGGTACCCAGGACTGTTCCAGCCACGCAGGGACACTTCTGCCTCCCCAGCACGGCGTACTTCAACTATTCTCAAGATAACTGAAGAAACACGTGGGTGCATAATGCAGAGGGCTTGAGGCTCAACAGTCACCACCCACCCAAAAGGTAAGAACAACTGCCCCCTATGGATGGCCTATCGCTCACCCTGAAGGCTCAGGCCCACCATCTGATACAATCCCCCCACCACCCTGGGACTCCTGCCTCCGTTTTCCAGATAAGGAAACAGAGGCACAAGCCGCTGCCTTGCTCCGAACAGCTGAGAGTGGAGCCTGAATCCGGAGCCGGTGTGTCTCCCAATTCTGTGGGACAAGTGAGGACACCCACCTGGAGTGACTGTACCTACAACTACCAGGCATTTCACGGGCATAACAATCCTCATTTACTCCTCTCACAACCTCGTAGAAGTAACCTACTCTTATCCGATTTGAGAGATGAGAAACTGGAGGCCCAGAAAGGTGAAGCAAACTGCCCAAGGTCACGCGGCTGGAAAACCACAGATCAGAGATTTGAAATCAGGCAGCCTGGCTCCAAAGCCCATGAGCTTGGCCATTTCAACAATGGTGGTCAGGAGCGACTGTTTTGTTCCTGTGGTAACTTCAAATACTTAGTGGCATAGCCCAACACAAATTCACTATCTTATACTTTCGGAGGTCAGAAGTCTAGCGTGGGTCTCACCCAGGCATAATTAAGGGGGTTGGCAGAGCTGTTTCTTCTGGAGGCTCTAAGAAAAATCCGTTTCCTTGCCTGTTCTATCTTCCAGAAGTGGCTCCCGGGTGCCTCAGCTTACGGCTCCCTTCCTCAATCTTCAGATACAGCAACATGGCATCACTGACCCTGCTTCCCCCAGGATACCTCCTTCTCTGACTCTATGGCCTCCCTCCTCCACTTTCAAGGACCCCTATGATTACACGGGGCCCACATAGATGACCCAAGATAGATAACCCCATCTCATGGTCCTAAGCTTCAATCTTATCTACAAAGTCCCTCTGACATGTCAGGCAGCATATTCACAGATCCCGGGGACCAGGGCATGGACATCTTTTGGGGGGCCATTATTCATAGCAACAACATGCCATCCTCTGTTTTAAAGGTTCTTCAGTGGCCAAGGGTCACAGGGTGAGCTCCCATTGTCCCATTTAAACCCACCTGACATAGCTTTTAGACCCAAGAGACAGGTAGGTTCAAAAGGAAGTTTAAGTACCTAAATATCGGCCCCTAAGAGAGAAATACAGGATAGTGGTTAAAACATCACCGTTTGCAGTCAAACTAAGAAACTCACTAGCTCAGGGAAAATGGTTTTAGGCCTTAGTTTTCTCATCTGTAAAATGGGAGTGAATCACGCCTACCCACTTCTTAGAACTAGGAGGCCGGGGGAAGTCATCACCATAAAGCGCTCAGCATGGGGCTGGGCACATATTAAGAGCTCGGTTAGCCACTGTTTCATGCCGCACACGAATGAGGCCTCCCGCAACTCAAGCACAGCCTCAGCTCCAACAGCAACTGGCACCAAGAGCTGCCGGCCCAGGGGAGCAGCCAGGAGCGGCAGGGCACCAGAATGTCGGGCACAGAGTCCTGCGGGGCCGAGAGGGGCTGCTTCCAGCAGGAGGGGGCAGTGACTTGCAGTACCAGCCCCAGTCAATGGCAGGGGGAGAGGAGGAGGGACACAGGCAGGGCTGGAGGCACGTCTGTTTTGTTGGGTCCGGTACATTAAAACTCTGTCACCTGGGGAAGAATTATTACATGGTCTGCTGGGTATCACTGCAGCCAAGCAGCGGACCCCCCCCCACCCTGAGGAGGCGGCCCCACCACAGGCTTCACCCGCAAGAACTCGGGGTGCTGCATAGCACTTCCCTCTTGGGGAGCATTTTCACTTCCTCTGCTACGCTGATTCCCTTCTAGGCATTTGCTTTTCCTAACGGATTGGCCAAAATAAAAAATGATGGTCCATACCCAGGATTGGCTTCTTAGGTGGCACTGGAATCTTTTTTTTAAAAGACTTTATTTGAGAGAGAGAACGAGAAAGAAGTAGAGAGAGAGAGCACAAACAGGCGGAGGGTCAGAGGGAGCAGACTCCCCACTGAGCAGGGAGCCCGACGCGGGACTTGATCCCAGGACCCCGGGATCATCACCTGAAGCTGAAACCAAGAGTCGGATGCTGAACTGACTGAGCCACCCACGCGCCCCAATAAATAAATCTTTTAAAAAAGTAAAAAGTGAACACATAAGCAGGTTAAACGAATCTATGCTGTGAGAAGTCAGGACAAGGTGACCCTGAGTGAGGTGGGACAGTGACCGGAAGGTGTCAGGTGTGGCTCCTGATAGGCTCGTGACCTTCTGTTCATGCAGGTGCTGGCCACACACCCATGTGCCTTCTGTGAACACTTACCAAGCCATCCACATACTTAGGATACACGGATTTTCTAGTGCGTGTCACACCTCAATGAAACGTTGGTTGACGTTTTTTTAGTGCGTCCTGTGTAAGTACGCTGCAGACTCCAGTCTGCAACAATCCTCAAGGCCTGGGAATCAGCACTTGACAGCTTTCTCGGCCCCTCAGTATTTACACGGCCCACTGCCTTCCAGCTGACCCTGACCCCAGAGGGCGGGGGCGGGAACATTCTGCAAATAAACGTGTTCTGGCCTGGTGGGGAGGAATCCTGCTTGGAACTGCCCTACAAGAAAATACAGCCCCCAGCCCCATTCTCTTGGCTGGGTCTCTCTGTTTCTCTCTCCTCTGCCTCCTGGGTCATCTGGCCCAAACAGGTCATTTCCTTCTTGACCCCCCTAGTTCCACCAGCTGGCCCCCCTGCAGTGGGCATTGTGAAGAAAAACAGAAACAGGCCACCTCCATTTCCTACCCAACACTTGAGACTGCACGTTTGTACACCAGCAACCCTTAGATGCGGGATGCACGAAGGGATGCTCTTGGAACTGAAAAAGATTCCAGGTGTCCTGGGTTGGCCCAGAGCGGTGAACGGGGGTCCAGGGCACGGACTGTGCAAAGCCGGGTCAGCTGGCCCCTGGCACCCACGCGTGAGAGAAGCACGGTCGGCAGTGGGGGCCAGAGGGAGCATCTCCCAGGTGTGCCTGGCTGCATGCTGTCCCCTCTCTGCTGCTCGGCGTCCCAGACTCTGTGGGTGTGTGTGCACGCATGCGCTCTCCCTCTCCTCCATCTCTGCTCTTACAACAGCGATCAATCGCAGTGTCCATGTCAGCGCGAGCAAGCATCAGCAGATGGTGACGTCGGCACCCGTGGACACTGGCCTCAGGGCACAGCACCGGCCATCGGGCAGGACACAGCAGCTCCCGGCCACTCTGAGCGGGCCCACCCATGCTTGGGAGGTAGGATTTCTTCGATGCTGATGCCACAGGAAGAGGAGTCTACTTGATCTTTCTCTGATGAAGGGAGAGGCAGTGATTCTGCTGGTCATGGTCACCCTATCTCTCTGTGATACCCCGAGAGCTGGGGCCCGCCTCACCTGGGAAGATAAATCACGGAGATCTGTTCCCAAAGAAAGCAGCAACTGTCCTCCTCCCGCTGACAGACTCTATTTTTGCTTCATTTCAGTTTCTCCCCGGCGTGTGCTGGGAAGACACGGATCGGCTGCTTTGGAATTCCCAAGCCTCCAGCACACACTCCCCCTTGCACTCACCCGATTCATCAACCAGGGGATGCGGAGGGCGAGGGGCATGAGGTGGGGCTTGTGGGCAAAATAGATCGGGTGTGAATCGCGATGCCGTGGTCAGTCACTGGCCGTGGGCACACCCCTTAAGCTCTCTGAACGTGTTCCCTTGTCTACTTAATAAAAATAAGGAATGGAAAGGCATGTCCTCTGGGGTCCACACGTGGACGAGAGGCTGTCTCTGAGACACTCAACACGCACAGCTACCCGCAGGGGGCTCACAGCTCACGTGGATCAGCAGCTTCAGCCCTGACAGCCCGATCCACCAGTACTTCAGTCATTCCCACCAGTTAGGCCTGAGAGGTGCAAAGTGAGCCCAGTCCCGTTCACTCATGTTAGTAAAACTCTGATGATCCTCTGCGCCGTGCCAGACACCATGGGCTTACACAGGAGGGGCAAGGGAATCCCCATAGCATGAGCCCTTCTATGGCCAGGTACCCTCACCTGCACGCCGTTAAGGGAGCCCTGCTCACAGCGCTGACGGACGCTGGTTAGAGCCGGCCTTCAGAAATACCGGCATTCGGGTTCAGCCAGGCTCCAGAAGTCCTGCACGGCACCTGGGAACTCGACACGTGCTCAGTAAGGGTTGGCTGGAATTAATGCTGGGAGCTGGAAATCACGTCAATCGAGAAAGACAGGATCCTTGTCTTCAGGGAGCGTCCAGGCTGTACAAGAGACCCAGAGAAGTGAACGTGCAGACAGTGCATGTCTGTAACTGAGCACACTGGGTGGTGTCCAGGCTGTGATGGTGGCGTGCCGGGAGCCAGGGCAGAGGAGGAGACACTGGAACCTACCGGATGTGGAGAGGTCCCTGCACGTCAGAGTGGGAAAAACCTTGGAATAATCTGGTTCGATTCCCTCACTGAGCAGCTGAGAAATGAGGCCCAGAGAGGTAAAGTGATTTGCCCAGGGTCACCCAGCTAGGACCTGTGGGATGCAGAATGAGAAGCAAATCTCAAGTGAGAAGGAGAGCTGGACACACAGCACCTGGGAGGGGAGTGGCTCCTTAACTCGGTAGGTGCAGGGTGCTGTCAGCAGAAGGCAGCATGATCAGAGGCTTGGCAGGGCAGGGAAGAACCACACCTCCTGGGGGCTTGTTCAAGAGCACTGGCCGCAGAGAGTCATGTCACCCTCATTAACACTGTAAGGTATGAACCCATGTTCAAATGAGGACAAGTGTCAGAGATCAGGCTGAGATATGAGCCCACACACTCTGCCTCCAGAGCCTTTTTGTTTAACCACTAGGCTGCCCTGCCACAGAAAGGTAATGTGGGGGGCAAGACTGGGGGCAGGGTGACCGGATAAGAAGATTCCAGAAGACAGAGATGGGGAAGCAGGAGCTAGATGCCGGAAAGGTCAACGAACAGAGACTCCCCGGGCAACATCCCTACCAGCCTCGGGGCTGTCATGACAGGAATGGGGAGCTGGTCTCCCCAAAAATCAACTGACCCGACTGCCTCTCCCCGCCCGCAAGTGAGAGGATAGACTCTCCGGGACAAACCTGTGAGTGGTGCCAGTGAGGACGTGGCACTTCCCACAAACTGTCCTACAGACCCACAAGAGCTGAGACCCCGAACAGGTTCAGGGATCCGAACTGTCCTAGCAACAGGTCCCTGGGTTCCCTCACAGGGAACTTCTGTGTCGTTAGCTAGAACAGACCAGAGAGGGATAACAACAGCAATATTTAGAGAGAGAAAACAGAAGCAGACAGAGGGCAGGGGAGGGGAGGCTATGCCAAGTGACAAACCCAACGCTTACTATGCAACCGTGACACTTGGAGCTTCACTTCTGGAACCCCCGTCCATACCTGCCAATGCGTCCTGCCTCACAGAGTTGGGGGGGATCAGAGTTGGCCTGCGTAAAGCCCTTTCACATAGTAGGTCCTCAGTGAAAGAAGGCTTCCACCTACTCAGCTCCCCTCCACCTCCCTCTACAGCTTCAAGGTGATTCAGATACTGAAAAGGGCTGAGAAATATCACGAACACTCTCCTTCTACAAATGACAAACCTTTAAGGTTTGGGAGTATTTTTTGTCCACTTCCTTTTGTTTGCCTTCGCCCACAATATCCCTCCAGGAAAGGTCAGCAAAGACCCAAATGTCCGTCAGATCCCCATGAACAAAGGGGGCAAAGTACCCTGGAGCAGAACCACCAAACAATGACTCAAGGAGGCAGTTGTTCACCCAACAACAGGACCTGCCCTTGAAGACTCAGAGTACCAAGGTTCTCAGGCATGCATGTTCTCCAAGAAAGGAACTTGGGAGACTCAAGATCTCACATGGGCCCCTGCCTGCAAAGAGCTTCACATCTCATTAAAGAAACAGGTCAATGAGAAACCATCCCCTTAAAGGACTACACCAACAATTGCGGTCCACGTGGTCTGGGGCCTCAGGGAGCACCGCACGGGACTGCCACTGTTTCCATGACGATCACGTGGGCCCTGAGAGGGATGTCAGTTGGGAGGAAGGAAAAACATGCTCAGGGTAGGAGCAAGGGCTAATGCTCAAAACAAGAGATCCCTGTAATTCCCCATTTAATCCCCATTAATGATCACAGCCTGAGGGATAGGACTCCTATCCCAAAATGACAGAAACAGCAGCGTGGGGAGAGCAGGCCCCTTGCCCGATGTCACACAGCTAGCAAGGGGGAGGGGGGCGGATGGAGCCCAGCGCCACGGGCTGCACGCGTCCCTCGGGTCCGTGCCTGCCCCAAGCCCCCGCCTCCCTTTAGCATCTGGATCCCATTCTGGGGCCATTCGCTCGATTCCTCAAAACAGAGCTTCCCACCAGGCGACCCTGCTGTCCCTGCCCTTTCCCACACCCCACAGCTCACACATCCCATAATCACCACCTTTGTTCCAACTCCTCTTTAAAACCTGGATTAGCTGGGCTTCCGGGGAGGTCACGCTGTGACTCTGGAATGCACTTCTGACTTTCACGGAAAACCAGTCTTACTTCAAGCCATACAGGCACATGTCACTAAGTAAACCAGGGCCATCCACCTTGCCCCCAGGACGCGGATGAAACCCCAAGTGGAGGGAGTAGGGCAGGAGGAGGAGACCACGAAACAGAAATCCAACGGGTTGGGCGCGATGCACAGGGAGCCCACGCCGCCGTGCTGTCCCCCAGGCTTGCCAGGCAGGGAAGGAGCTGTGTCCACCTGCCCATCTACCAGCGAGCCCCGTGGGGAACCCCAGTGTCTCCCACTCTCGCCCCGTCCCCCCACTCAGAAGGTGCACCCGCCATGTCCCAGCTCCCCGGCAGCAGGGGGTGGGAAGCCGCAGAGTGTCTAGGCGACATGAACACCGGGGAAAGACAACAGAAGGGAGGGAGGGGAGAAAAGGGAACAAAAGCAATCAAGAAGCAGCAGAGATGAAAATTCACCAAAAACGTGTCAGAACAGTAGTCCAGAAAAGAAGCCTGACAGGGAACGCAAGTGTCCAGAGCTCCGTGGACCTGGGTGGCATTCCAACACTCGTGGTGGTGGTGGTGGGTGTGTGAGAATCACTCGTACCTACTGAGGGCCTGCAGGGCAGCAGGCACACAGAAGGCTTCTCCGGGCCGTGGGCTCGCAGCTGCGTGGCCCTCATGATCACTGGGGGCTTGTTCCAGTACAGACCCCCGAGGTCCACGCACAGCAAGGCTGCTCAGCAGGCCTGGGCTGGGGTCAACTCCACGGGTCCCCCAGGTGGTAGGGACGCAGGGGTGCTGCAGAACTCACTGCAGAAAGCCGGGTCCAGGAGTGAGCCTGCAGCCTGAGATGAGTGCGGGCACCTGCTGCTGGGTGTGGCGGGAGGCAGGGGCCAGGGCCTGCCCTGTGCCGGCCCATGCAGGCCTCCTGATGCCCAGGGTCTCGCACTGTCCCCACTCAGCCCTTGGAAGTCGTCCCAGGGTGTATCTGGCAGACGAGGAGCTACGGCCCACCAGGGCGGCTTGTCCGAGGTCACCGAACCAGGACCAGCAGAATCGGGAACTTCCTTTTCTCTCAGAGAAGAAGAAAACAGAAAAGGAATACATGCAGTCTAAACTCTGAGAACATAGGGAGGTTTAGAGGAGACAAGAAAAGGAAGAGTCCTGAGTGCTCAAGACTAGCCACACGTGGCCACACTCTTGCGATCCTTCAGACGGGCTCCAGGGAGCACGTGGCCTCAGTGATCTGCCTGGCTGCCACCAACGTCACACTGGAGGAGACACGGATTCGGGTGGCAGAAGAAGGGACCACGAGTGACTTTCCACAGCCACGTGGTCAATGGACCAAAGACTTGACCGGAACCCGGTCCATCCCCTGACTTCACAGTCACCACAGGGCCCTTGGCAGACTCGGCACAGCTCAGCGTTCCTGCTCCATCTCCTGCAAGCTCGCGGGCACCCAGAGGGTCACAGCCAAAGTGACGGTGCATGGGGAGAGCACCGCAGCGCCTGGGCACACACCGGAAGCAGAGGACCTGCCGTTCAGGAGGAACCGGGTCGCTGGACACGTCTAATCATGTCACTCCCCTGGCTCAGACCTGCAGGATTAGTCAACAGCCTCACAGTCAGGTCCAAGGTGACGCCCAGAGCTACCGGTATGGAGCGCCTTGTAGGTCAGAGGCAGCATGCCCCTCGATCACTCAGTGCCCCTACACGTAGACACCAGTCCCATCCTGGCATACGGGTGACAAAACCACAATCCCAATAACACAGGGGTAATAACACCAACTGGAACTAAGGCCCCACAGTCCAAGCTCTTAAGCTTTCAGCCTCAGCTACAGCCTCCTCAGCACTCCGGCCACATTGGACATGCCACTTGCTGACCCTCCTCGGGGCATCTGCTTTCACTGTCCCTCCAACTGTTCAGCCCTCTTGGTGAACTTCTACTCATCCTGCAAAGCCCTTTCCCTCCTCTGTGCAGACTTCCCAATTTTCTCATCATCCCTCTGCGCCTCACGGCTGAACCCACTGCTGCCCCTCCCTGAGGACTCCCACAGCATAGTGACAGACACCATATGGATTTTAAGTTCCAAGCCTGTCATCTCCTCTGGCCCGATGGCTCTGCCTGGTACCCCAATAATTGGTCCTGGGATGGTCTAAAAGCATGCAGGCCTCACTCTCTCCCTATCTCCGGCCCTAGGCTGAACTGCCGACGTCTGTAGGTAGCCCTGAGCTTCCTCCATTACAATCTTCGAGGGAGCGGCCCGAGGACAGCAACTCGACCATCCTTAAATTCTGTAATCTCCCAGAACCTCACATGGCAGCAAGCAGATGCTCGACGAAATGTTCACACTGGATATTCATTTACTGTGTTAGTTACACTGTTTGGCCAGAATGATGGAGACTGTTTCTAATAGACGGCAAAAAGATTCCAAAAGAAAAGTGGACGATGCCAAACCGATTCCCAGAGCGAGTGGAGCAGAGAGATGCACGAAGATTCTGGAAGGGAAATATCCCCTTTGGAAACCCAGGCTCTGTTTGCATTCTGCCTCCATTATTCACTATGTACCCCAGGAGGCTTATTTAGCATTTTGATGGTCTGCCTTCCTCCTCAGAAATTAACAACTGTCCTTACTTCACAGGACTGCTGGGGGGATAAAACGAGATAATCCATGCAAAGTGCACAGCGGTCCCTCACACACAGAAAGCACTCAATAAATATTAGCTAATATCACTACCCATGGCCACCCACCCGCCC